AGGGCAGGTATTGGGGGGGTAGGCGGAGGCCCCCAGGGGAGGGATTTTAGGGGTCTCTGGGTTTGTGGATGCCAAGTAGGGGTCTCTGGGGCAGGGATCTGGGGGGACAAGTGGGAGTCTCCAGAGCAGGGATTCTGGGGAGCCCATGGGGCGTTTGGGGGGCAAGTGGAAGGTCCAGGGGGTCTCTGGGGCCAGGATTTAGGTGGGAAGTAAGGGTCAATGGGGCAGGGACATGCGGAGGGAGGGGGGCTCCCCAGGGCTTTTGGAGGGGCTCACGGGTCAGGGGCTTTGGGGGTCCCGGGGTGGGGGGGAGCAGAGCTGGCTGCAGGCCCCGTACTCACGCGTCTGGCAGTCCTGCGGCCCCTCGCCCCAGCAGTGCCCCTCGGCACACAGCGCCCGGCAATCGGGACCTGCACCGGTGGAAGCCATGAGCCGGCGATGCCGTGGGGGCCGGCAACCCCCAGGCCCCTTCCCTGGGTACAACCCACCCCCCCGCAGCGGGGTCCCAGTGCTCACAGCTGCGGTTGCGGGTGCTCTCCACCTGGGTCTCATCGCGGAGCTCGTTGTGCCGGTGGAAGATGTCAGACCAGAGGATGGTCTCCTGGAAGCAGAGCTGGGGGTTCCTCTCGATGCGCACCCCTCCCTTCAAGATCTCTGCATGGGGACAGGCAGGGGGGGTGTCAGCATGGGGACATAGGGGTCTTGCAGCCCCATGGGGACTCCCAGCCCTGGGCAGGGACCTGGAGCTCCATGGGGACATCCCATCTTGGGCAGGGACCTGCCACCCCACGGGGACACCCAGCCCCAGGCAGGGACCTGGAGCTCCATGGGGACACCCAGTCCTGGACGGGGACCCGCTACCCCATGGGGACACCCAGCCCCAGGCAGGGACCTGAAGCTCCAGGCAGGGACTACTGGGGACAGGCAGCCACAGGCAGGACCAGCAGCCCTGTGAGCCCACCCCAGGCAGGACCCAGCAGCTCCCAGGAGCAGCGACCCGCAGCCCCGAGCACCCCACGCCGGGAGCTGCCACCGCCGGGAGAGGTCCCCGACCTGTGAGGTGCCGCATGCCGAGCTGGCGCAGCCCTGGCATGCCAGAGGGGCCGGCGTTGCCCATCACGGCCAAAGCGTAACGCTCCTGGAAGAGCTGCGTCCCCCGGATGATACGCAGGCTCTGCAGCTCCAGCTGGCTCACTTGGTTCTCCGCGATGAGCACGTAGCCCTGCACCTCCTTGATGTCCTGGGGACGGGGGGACAGGGGTGAGGGGCCAGCCGGACCCCCGCTGTGCCCCCCCCGGGGTGTTTCTCCCCCTGCGCACCTTGAGGAAGGTGGTGTCGGCGTCGGGGGGCAGGTAGGTGAGCTCCAGGTTGCCCTGCACCACCTGGCAGCCCTGGTAGAGGTGCCGCAGGGTCTCGTAGTGGCTCTCGGGGCTGGAGGGACGCAGCAGCTTCATGTCGGTCCCCGTGCAGACTGTGGGGACAGAGCGGGAGCTCAGCGGGTCCCCTCGCACGGCCCGTCCTCGCCCCCGCGGGAAACTGAGCCGGCGGCAGCACCGGCCTCCGCAGGAAATGCTGCGGATCCGGTGGTGGCCGTTTATCTCCGGGGCTGCTCCCAACAGCTTCCGATGGGCTTCCTGGATCGCCATTCCCCCCGCTCCCGCCCCCGCACGCGGGCAAGCCGGCTCCCGCTTTGCAACGCG